AGATTGGATAAACAATTTCAAGTCCATGAAGAACTATTCTCCTAGTGATAATGAATGATATTCTTCAGGGCCCCCAAGGATTATTTGATCTCATACTGAAGCAAGAAATATTTGAAATGAGCATTTCAGAAGAACTTCCTTATGTCAGGTTACAAGAGTTAAGAACTTAAAAGGAAGGGTACCGGGTCATTTGAAAAAAATCTTTGGATGGCCAGCAATGTTTTTAATGACTCCAAGCTTATCCCTGAAACAATAATCTATCTTCTTACCATCACTATTAATCCAATGATCCTGGGGGGGTGCAAGTCACAGTTTCTAAAGAAATAAAGTTATGGATCACCTCAATGGCCAGTGGTGGTTATGAGTAGTCTGAAGCAAATTGCCGATGAAGATTGCATAAGAGAAGTGGCATTAAAGTATAATGTCAGAAAAATGTACCACCAGAAGAGGACATGGACTAGTCATCTCTAATGTGCAGCCTGGGTCCTCCATTGATATCCACAAAATGTCGAGAGATCTAGGGGAAGGCCCACAGAACATTGGATGGACCCTCTATGTAGGACATAGTAGAGGACATGGACGTCACTGGATGACAGGACATGGATGGGTTGGGAGGTAGTTGGTGGTATGGTGCACTGGACCTGGAGCCAGGAAGACCCAAGTTTAAATCTGGCCTGAGACACTTACTAGCTATGTGACTCTGGGCAAGTCATTTAACATCTATTTGACTCAGTTTCTTCAACTATAAAATGAAGATAATAATACTACCTACCTCACTGGGTTGTCTATAAAATAGAGGTACTATTAGCACCTACCTTGCAGGGCTGTTGTGAGGATCAAATACTATAATATTTGTAAAAAGCACTTAGCACAGTGTCTGGCACATAGCAGGCACTATATAAATGCTTATTTCCTTCCTTTTCCCTTCCCCATCTGCATTACCAGAGGGAATACCCACATAGCTGAGATCACAGGTCTATGAAAGCATACCTAACACCTATCACAGTCCCTTGTATAGTAGGTGCTAAATCAATATTCAAAAACTATGTGAACTTGAGTAAGTCACCTATTTTCTGAATTGGAAGCAGCAGGAATGTAAGATCCTTGTGAGATGATTAAAGCATAGTCCTGGCTGGAGGTAGTGACCTAGATTGAATGTTCTCTGCCTACCCTCTCCAGCCTCAGAATCCCCCAGGCCATTAAACAGCTTGATGTAATAAAGTCTGATCGATATGCATGAACAGTGTAGCCAAGATCAATCAATCAACAACGATTTGTTAAGCACCTACTGTGTGCCAAGCACTATGATGAATTTTGGGGATACAAGAACAAGGCATAAAACAATCCATATCTTCAAGGAGTTTAGTTTATATTTTAACAAAGGAGATAATATGGACATGTAAATATTTGCAGTATAAATATAAAAAGGATAAATGCAAAGTAGCTAAATACAAGGTAGTTTTGGGGGATAGGCTATTATTAGTTATAGGGATCGGGAAGGTTTCATGCAGAAGATGGTGCTTGAGAGGTGGTCTAGGGGCAGCTAGATGGCGCAGTGGATAGAGCACTGGCCCTGGATTCAGGAGGACCTGAGTTCAAATCCGACCTCAGACACATAACGCATACTAGCTGTGTGACCCTGGGCAAGTCACTTAATCCCATTGCCTAGCCAAAAGGAAAAAAAAAAGAGGGAGAGGTGGTCTATGAAGTGCAGTGAGGAAAGAATGCCATGGGGGACAGCCAGTGCAAATACACAGAGATGGGGGTTAAAGTTGAATTGTGAAGAAAACAGAGACCAGTCTGGCAGTATTATAGGGTATGGGAAGGAGATATATATTATTAATACATGTTAATATATTATTATAATATATTATATATAATAATATATTATTAATATATATTAATAAAATTGACCTGGAAATGTAAGTTGGTGCAAGGTTGTGAAGGGTTTAAAAAGCTGAACAGAGTGGTTTATATTTTATCCTAACTAAATATAAACTATATATAACTAAAAGGCAGCTATCAAAGTTGATTGAAAAGCTGAGTGACGTGGTCAGATCTACTTTTAAGGAAAAAGATGTTTTCATCAGTAAACTGAATTTTGGAAAGTAGAATCAGGGAGACTAAGAAATAATCTAGGTGAGAGGTGATGGGCACCTGAGCTAAAAGGGTAGCTGTGTGAATAGACAGAAGAGGTTGGATGCAAGAGATGTTCTAAAATGGCAAGATTTGTTGATTGGCTGTATATGTGGTGTGAGAGAAAATGAGATTATGCTAACACCAAGGTGGTAAATCTGGGAGACTGGAAAAGTAGTGGTGCCTTTCACAGAAACAGGGAAGTTTAGAAAATGGATAACTTTGGAAAAAGAAAACAAGAAATTGAGTCCTGTTTTGGACATACTGAGTTTGAGATATTGAGACATCTAACTTACCCCTTGTCCATCCTATTGGCAGTTATCCCTTGACAAATCTTAGTTGTAGCTTACTCTCATCGTGTGCTTCTTCTGCTCCAATTAGTTTGAGATATATAGCTTGCAATTTCTAACAAGCAACTGGTGATGTGGGACTGAAGCTCAGGGGAGAGGTTGAGGCTGGATATGAAGATATTATAGTCATTGACAAAGAGATGATACTTAAATCCATTAGAGCTTATGGTATTACTGAGAGAGAAAGAGAGAACCTAGAACTTAGCACAGAGCCTTGAGGAACATTCATAGTGAAGGAGTGTGATCTAAGTGATGACCCAGCAAATGAGATTGAGAAGAATAAGTTAGATGGAAGGAGAATCAAGAGAGAGAAGTGTCAGGAAAGTTGACAGAGGAGAGATTTGACAAGAGACAATTGCCATAGGTGCAAAAAGATTCAAGGGCAGAGGACAGCATAGAATTGAGTTGGCTAACTATAGGGTCAAAATTGGAGAGGGAGGGAAATGAAGGCAGATTGTCCAAAAAAGAGAGGAATGACAGTTAACAGAAACCATCGGTTTGTGCCCTGATCAAATGATAGCTGCAGTACCCACTCTGTGCAGATTACATGGAATAAGGCACAGTCCTTGCTCCCAAGGTCTAGTAGGGAAGTGAGACAGAGAAACAAGTAACTTTGCTGTAAGATAGTACATTGTTCTGTGAATAGGAAAAGCCCAGTCAAAGTGCAGTGGCATGTTTGAGGAAGTCCCAGCTGCTGGAAACATCAAGGAAGGTTTCACGGCAATTCCATATTCCATGGTGATGTCTCAGAGCAAGAAGGGGAGGTCGCTGGTCCAGCCAAGTGTTGGCTTCAGGGAAAGTGGGGAAGCTGAGCAGATAAGGAACAGATGTGCTTTGATACAATGGCTTTAGATTCGTACCAGAAGAACCCCACATAGACGAACCGCCAGCACTGAGTGCTTAAGTGCTCTTGACAGGCTTATAGGTTTACATGTGAGTCTAATTATACCCTACAATTCCCCACCCAACCTCCACTTTCCCAAACATTTCTTTCACCTATTGTAGGGCTCCCTAATGCCAATATTCTCTTAGTTCAGGTTTGAGGTTGGGTTAAAATCAGGTAATTGTGAACAAGTCACTGAACAATTAACAAAAAGAGATTTACTTTGCCTTACATCAAAGGATATGCAAAGATACAATGGTGCTTAGGATGAGACTTCCTCCTCCCCCATTCATCATCTCCATATGGAAGACAGGTAGGATATGGTAGAGGACATGCATGGTCTTCAGAAATCCACAGAGTCAGAGAAGCCTCAACTGACTACAGGTGGGACTTCTTAATGCATTTAGGTAACCAGTAAGTTTCATCAGGGAATCAGGAGCCAATCAGGTTTTGGGACTGCTTTGTCTCCTTTTAGAGAAAATTAATGGTCCATGTTATAGCAAGGAAGGAGGAAGGGTGGTCTAACATATTATGAGGAACTACTGGTATATTTTAGTCCTATTGTGGCACCCAAAGGGACCATGTAGTCCATGTAGTCTATGTGAGTATAAAGTCTGGCCCACTTCCCATAGGCTATTTTATATACCACTGGCCCAGCCACTTGACCCCAGAAAAAATGGAAAGAACTAGGAAGGTAATATGGACCTGGGTATTTCTTCCCCAGGCAATGTGTTAAAATGGCAGTGGATTTGAAGCCAACAGCTATGGGTTTGAATCCCATCTCTGCAACTTACTATCAGTGTTACTTTAAAAAATAACTTAACCTCTGTGGTTTCAGTTTTTAAATGTAGATGACCTTTAAATTTCCTTCCAGCTCTAAATCCTATCATTTAAGTGTGACTTGAATAGGGCCAATCAAGGGAGACAGAAAGTTCTTGTCCAAGAGAGAATCAGGTAATAATCTGGGCAAATCCCTTTGAGACCAGGTAGAGTTTTCAGGGTTTAAAACCAATGGAAAAATGCCCAGCCCATTGTGCCAATTTCTTCAATGTTAAGATGAGTTCATCTAGCCTCTCCAAATAGTCTGGCTCATGCCCTCTTCATGTCAAGTCTGACTTTCAGGCCCCTCCCTTCCTGAGTCCCACACTTATTCTCCCAAGGTCACTGAAGGTCATATTCATCTCTCTGACTTCCTCCTCCTCCTCCCTCCTTTCCCAATCTCAGTGTCCTGGACACTTGGACCATTCTGGGTAGAACAACTTGTAGACATCAAGAAAGGTAAATCCTGAGGATATCAGATTATTAGGTTGTCCAGGGCTCAGACCACTACAATTCCCTTCTGCCCCATTGGGAAAAGTGACCAAAGTGTAGATCCTAAGGCCATTGGGCAAAAGCCTGATTGTCCTCGAGGTTGTGTGACCAAGGCAACCTTCTCTGATGTGACACCTCCCATATTCAGAGGTGATGTGTAAACTTGGGAAAAAATCACTTCCACTCTCTGGACCTCAGTATCCCCCTGCTAGATAAAGAGCTCCAGCCTGGGTGGGGGACAAGGGCTCAAGCACTCCATCTGTACACACCCACCCCGTAACCCATTCCCCCAACCGAGCACCATTGCATTTTGTTTACAGTGACGACTCCTACACCCATGCCGGGGGTGGCACAGAGGACCCTTCGGCCAGCAGATCCAGCGCCCAGGAGCTGCAGGAGGAGGAGGAGCTGCTAGGGGCAGGGGGGACCTCCGTGCTGGCAACGAAGGCCAGCCTCCACCACACAGCCTCCCCTGGCCGGCAGCAGCATGCCAAGGTGCTCTGCTCCCATGCCCCTGCTGCCTCTGATTACGAGCTGTCCCTTGACTTAAAGAATAAACAGGTACCCAGGGCCTCCATGGGGAGGGAGGAGGGTGGGGAGGGGAGGCAAGAAGGGGCCCTGTTTCTGGGGATTGTCGCTATGGTTCCAGGTGCCCTGCCCCTCCCACCCACCACCTCGAGGCCAACTCCTCCAAAGAAATATTTATTTAATTGTTCCTCAGTTGAGCCAACCAATGTTCTCATCTTCCTTGCAGAATCTTTCCTGCATCCCTCTTGGGAACCTAGGGTAGAGTCCATCCAATATCTCCTATCCTTTAATTCATTGTGATGTAGGACCTTCACACAGAACTTTGAGCGGATCCCCCTAACATCAGGCATCTGAGCAGTGCCCAGGGTCTCTGGCCACTGCCGCCCTATGACCCTAGAAGGAAAGCATGAGTATGGTCCTAGGTATTGCTTATCTTGGGCTGGACCCAAAGAAAGCAATGTGGCATAAGGTCAACAGCATAAGATTTAGAACTTGAAGTCCTGGTTCTGTTATTTAACCTATTTGGGGCTCAGTTTCCTCATTTAAAAATAAGGTGATTGAGTTAGATACATACCCACCCACTCAAATATGAGATTCAGCATGAAGGGCCCAGGCATGATGAGATGCTCCAGATTGTTATCATTAGCTCCCCTTTCCCTGATTGTAAGGTGTGTGTCTGTTGGAGGGGTGGGGGAGGAATGGAGATAGGAAAAGCTCTCTACTTGGCATAAAATAAGATACTTCCAGAGTTTGGCTCACTGTGAAGGTCAAGAAGCCAGGGGATGTGGGCAATAAAAGGATTTAAATTTTTTTTTTAGTCTTTTAGCAGAAGTTAGGGGGAAGCCTTCTTGCCAAGATAATTGCCTGAAGGGAAGGCAGACTGCCCAAATCTCATATACCTACTTCAGCAAAGTCCTGAAGTTTGCACCAAACCAAATAACAATACAGAAATACAATGAGAAGCTACTCTAATTCACTTCTTCCAAACCAGAACTGCATAAGAGGTCAGCCAGAAGTCCAACAGCAATAGAAATGGAAGGTCTGCTAACAAAGTGTGCCTCCATGTGACAAGAGATGGGACACATGTAGCCTGAAAGGCTTTGTGTCTAGAGGCAAGAAAAATGGAGGGCCCCCCTGAAAAAGGTCCAGGGTGGTCAGAAACCCCAGAGTTGGGCACCTCAGAAGACCTGGGAGAGTGGCAGAGGATAATGACCATCATGATGCAGTGTCACCACAGCATTCAGACCAGGACAGTCAAGGAGTGGGGTTCCTAAAACTTCTGAGACCCCAGAGAGGGCCTTGAAGATCCAGCATTCTGAACTTGAAGATACAGGGAGTCCTAATCTTGAGAGGTAGAAGGAAGCATAAGAACCCAGAGAATTCAAGATGAGACCAAGCAGTTCTGCCAATAGGAGCAGGATATAGAACCTGGCCTTAGCACAAAACCCCCATTCAGGAACTAAAGTTGGAGAGATGAGAAAATCAAAGAAAACAACCACTTTAAAACTAGTATAAAAATTATTTAAAATGTAGAGATTTTCCAGTAGGAGTGAGAAATTCCATAACAGCTGTAAGCAGAAGGAAAAAAAATTGATTTTCTACAAGGGTGACTTGAAAACTTAGAAGAAATGAAGCAAAAGACAAAAATGAAATAAAATCTCTGGAAGAAAGGACAGGAAGTAGAATAAGTAGCTTAGAAGAGAAACTGTTAATTCTTACTAAAAAAATAGAATCTCTGAAAACTAGAATGAACCACACAGATATCAGTGACTGTGAGAACAAGAAATGTTAGAACAAAAATCAAAAGATTGAAAAAATAGGGGGAAAAATTGAGATAACTGATATGAAAAATAACAGACTTGGAAAATAGTTCGAGACACAATAAAAGAATCATCTGATTACATGAAACCCATCATTTAAAAAATGCCTGGATACTATATTCAAGAAATCACAAATAAAAATTGCCCAGATCTATTAGAACCAGAGGGCAAACAAAATAAAGTTAGAAAGAATCCATTGATCACCTCCTGAGAGGAACTGCAAAAGGAAAAGTCCCAGTAATGTCAAAGCAAAACTCCAGAGATTCCACATCAAAGAAAACCAAAAACACTCCTAGTATCAAGAAAAAAAGCAATTCAAGTACCAAGGAACTATAGCTAAAATCACACAAGACTTGGCAGTTTTTACAATAAATGAGAGGAAATCTTAGAATAACATATTCCAAAAGGCAAAAGACATAGGTTAACAACTTAGAATATCTTACCCTGCAATGCTGAGTATAATCCTATGGGAAGGGTGGGAAGTATGGGTGATCCTTTAATGGAAAAGAAGACTTTCAAATATTTCTGGTGAAAGGATTATATTTGAGTAGGAATTCTGATATATAAACAGAAGAATCCAGAGAAAACTAGAAGGCAATTGGAAGGAGCTATATTACATGTACTGATAATATTCTAATGGAGAGAGAAGTAGCACATCCCTTTCAGAATCTTAATGTCTTCAAAGTGTATTGAGGGAGTTAAATAAGATAATCAAAGGCCCTAAGGGTGGATGGTTCTGCTTTGAAGGTTTGAAGAGGGGAAAGAGAAGGGAGAGTAAAAGGAACACTGGTGCAGAAAGGAGGAAGAAGGAGGTGTGTTTCTTATGATTGAGGTATGTGAGAAGAAGAATATATAGACGTGGAGGAAGAGATGGGAGAAGTGGGCATCAGACGACCTTTGCTCATCTGAAAATGACAAAAGAGAATTGAATACACAGTTTAGTGTAGAAATACCTCAAACTCAACAAGTAAACCAGTTGGAATGGAAGGAAGCAGTAAAAAGGAACGTAATATTGGGAGGGAATAGTCACAAACTAAATTTCTAGATCCTGGAAAAAATTAAAAAGGAGAAGAGGAGATGAGAGAAAAGGAAAGGAGAGGATAGAAGAGAAGAGAAGTGAAGAGGAGAAAAGAGGAGAGGAGAGAAGAGGAGAGAACAGAGAAGAAGAAAAGGGAGAGAAAGAAGATAATGGAAGGGAGAACTAGAATCTAAGGGCATGCCTTTGATTTTCTCTTAGATAACTGAGGAATGGTTGAATAAATCATGGCATATGAGTGACAGAATATCACTGAGTCATAAGAAATAATGGAAAACATGATTTCAGAGAATCTTGGATATTATAAATTGATGCAGAGTAAAGTAAGCAGAAACAGGAGAATGAATTATATAAAGACAATACTGCAAGGGAAATTAACTTTGTACAATTTAAGAACTATGACCAATCATGTTTCTATGATATAGCATATTACTTTCTGACAAGTGACAGACATAAGGTGCAGAAATATATATTTGTGGACATTGCCAATGTATGGATTCATTTTGCTTGACTATACTTACTTGTTCAAAGTTTGTTTCCCTTTTTCTCTCAGTTTTTAACTGGGAGAGAAGGAGTAGAAGGTAGCAATAGGGATGCTTACAAAAGGGCCATTTTAACATTTTCAAATGCACAAAAGAGAACAGAAAGAATTTCAGAAGCACAGAAAAGGACAGTTTTGAAAGTAGTGTGGAGAATGTATGACTTACTATTTTTAAAGAAAACAAATGAAATTAAATGGAGATTCACAGTTTCACAAAGAATCATCTTTTTGTGTTCTGCTGTGTGTCTGGAAATGCTCTTTTTATGTTTAAATTAAGAATTTTTAAATTTTGTGAAGCTGTTAGGGTAGAAATACTGTGAAGAAGGAGCACTGGAGTGTGGTTTAGAAGACTTTGGTTCCAGTCCTGTTTCTATCACAAACTGTATCACCTTGGGAAAGTCACTATCCTTATTCTGGACTTCTCTATCTTTATCTGTAAAATCCAGGGGAGGGAAGGGGAGATTGGATGAGAGTTTGTATGGTGGAAAGAGCACTGGTTTTGGAACCTAGACTCAAATTCCATCTTTGCTATTTCTCCTGTCTTCTAAAAACTGAGAATGAAAGATTATGGACTTTGAAAACTATATCAGATTTTCTTGTAGCTGCTGGTGAGTTAAGCAACAACCTTGACTTCTCTAAAGTTCACTTTTCTCTTTTGTAAAGTGAAAGCACTGGACTAAATAATCTCTATGGTGCCTCCTATGGTCCTTAAGGTGGCAGAGATAAGGCCTAGACTTATGATTTCATTAGTGCATGAGTGAAGTAAGTCCTACTAATTAATGCAAGTTGGTGCCTAAGTTGATTGAATTGTCCAGAGTTGCATAGCCAATATGTGTCAGAACCAGGACTTGGATCCAGGTCTTTCTGGTTTAGTGGCTGGTCCTCTACTACACTTGGTTGCCTCTCCCCTAAGAAGATAAAGAGGATCAATGTAAAGTCTTACATGGGTTTGAAAATCAGCTTCAAAAGTACAGGATGAGGGAGACATGATTAGACAATGGATCTGGAGGTATTTGTGGGCTGCAAGCTCAATATGAGTCAGCAACGAGATATGGCAGCCAAAAATGCTAATGTGATCTTGGACTTCATTATAGAGAGGCTGAGCTTCCAGGAAAAGGGAGAGGGTAGTTCCTCTGTACTCTGCCCTGCTCAGACCTCATCAGGAATGTTGTGTTCATTTCTGGGCACCTTGCTTAAGGATATTGATAAGCTGGCAAGCGTAGAGGGAAGAAAAATTATGACGGTAAAGAGAATCAAGTCCATGTCATTGGGGAATTGATGGAAGGAATCAGGGATGTTTAATCTAGAGAAAATTCAGGGGGATGTGACAGGTATATTCCAGTGTTTGAAAAGCTGTCATGTAGAGGGAGTATTAGATTTGTTCTATTTGGACCCAGAGGGCAGAACCAGAAGAAATGGGGTAAAATTGAAGATAAATTTAGGCTCGATGTCAGGAAACACTTCCTAACAAAGGGAGCTCTCCCAAAGTGGCGGGGACTGCCCTGAGAGATGGTGGATTCTCCCACTTTGAAAGTCTCCAAGCAGTGGCTGGATGTATATTTGTTGAGCAAGTTATAGCGGAGCTTCCTTTTGCTTATCAGTTGGATTGAATGGCTTCTAAGGTCCCTTGCAGCTC